GCAGGCAAGCAGCAGCGACGTAGAAGTAGCTGCAGCAATAGCAGCAGCAAGCAATGCATAGAGAGATATCTGGCAGGTTAAATAGAGCGGCGTATTAAGGAGACTCTGTTTGTTTGGTTGGTTGTAGAGTGGCAAGGGGCGTTATGTATGAATGCAGCATAAGTGCTCGAGTTGACTGCCTGAACTAGCTCGCAGGCTTCGCCCCATTTCCTGGTGGGAACAGGGATGTTATGACTGATACTGACATGGAAACTGTACTTCATCCAGTGTGTGCATGACACATGGTGCAAGAGTGGGGGTTAGGATGTGTGCATGTGTGTGTTGGTGTGGGTGTAAAAGATGCAAGAGGAACACTTCACTGGAGCTCATGCAGAGAAGAACTTAACCAAATCCAGTTTTAGCACTCTATCTCTCTCGGCCAGACACACACATAAGTACACGCATGCGCGCGCACACACACACACACACACACACACACACACACACACACACACACACACACACACACACACACACACACACACACACACACACACACACACACACACACACACACACACACACACACACACACACACACACACACACACACACACACACACACACACACACACACACACACACACACACACACACACACACACACACACGAGGCTGAGAGCTGGCCCTGTTCAGATAAATGCACCGGATACTGCTGCTTCCAGGCTCTAATCTAATGACTGCGTGTGTGTCAGCTCCTCCGCTTCTTTATTTGTGAGGACCAGTTTTAGTGTAGGTCAGATCTTCCATTCTTCAAAATGCCTTTGTGAAAATGTAGACTGTTGGTGATGTTGTAGTGGATTTTAGGGTGAGAAGCTAGTTAAAGTATCATCTCATTAAGGGTCTTCACAACTATGCGTCTGTGAGGGAGTAAGAGGTCCAGCAGGATTACTCTTATAATTTGCAGGAAGGACACACACCACCTACCGCTTTACTATAGATACACCATCTGTTGCTACTGGAAAATTGAAGTGTGTACAACATTAAGTTCAGATACATTTAAACTGCTTATTTCATTGTTTTTTTGTTGTTGATGGAATTGTGTTTTCTCCCAGATTAAACTCACAATTTGAAACGTGATGTTAACTTTGTAAATTGCAACAACAACAAAAGACGCAACAGAACACTGACCATTTGGTTATGTTTTGGCAACTAAGTACTTGGCTCAATTTTAAACAAGATCAAGGTTTGGCTTAAAATGAAGAAGTTATAAGTCATTTAATTTATAGAACTTAAATTTTAAAAAGTCTGTGTTACATAAAGAGCGTTCTCCTTGGTAGAAGTCCTGTATTTGACTTTGATCAAAAAACGCGTTGTGATACGGCGCCCAGTATAACTGACAATGCAGTTTAGTTTAAAGGGAATTTAATTTTCAGGGGACGAGGATGCAGAATTACTACTGTAAAAAGTATTCAAGTGAGATATATAAATTAGTGTAGGTGGAAAAAAGCTCCAGAGCAAACCTCGAATGACAACATAAAGAGAAATGCTTGAGCTTGCTCTTAAAAACAATGGACTGCGTCAAACAAATACATTCACTGTATATGTAATGTTAACTTTACAATTAGGACAGAATACACACTGGTGGCACGCCTGGCAAAAATATTAAACACAGCATCATAAAGCTGTCCTGGTTTAAAATCACGGCTGTAGTGGTGTGAGGTCTCCTTATTTGGGCAACAAGCCGCTAGCTAAGCTAAACATATCCAACCAGTCTCGATACTCTATACTCACACCTGGTGAGGCAAAAATATATTGTATAATTTCCAAAATGTTGTATGTTGCTTTCAAAGGATCTGTTCACTCAACATATGTTCTTACCTAAGAGACCGGGTAGAGATCATCATTGTTAGATATCTATTATGTTCAGGCCTTCAAGGCAAATGCACAAATGACTGTCTCTGGGGATCAAGTACAACTGGTGTGTTGACATCATGAGAATCCTAACAACTATTTCCTGTGTGCGAGTGTCCAGATGTCTGTGGCCTGTGGGAATGAGAGAAGTGTGTGAGACGGACAGGAAATGATGTCAGACATTCTCATGCAGACTCTGACAGGCGTAACACACACTCACAATGAATGCCGAAAAGCACAAGATTACTAAAACAGCATAAATAAGCGCATGTGACTTATGTTATAAGATGTTTTTTTCAGTTAATATACTTGTTGTGATTCTCTTTCTATCTTTTCTCCATCTTTCCCCAACATGTAAGCCCCCATATTCTCCCTCTAGGAGCATTACATGTCAAGTGAGTGGGAAAAAGAAAGACGGTAGAGGGTTATGAGTGTCTTTCAGTGCGTCAGTTTAAGTCTGTGTGTGCTTTAGCCAATTTGTGTGCATTTGCATGTGAGTGAGTCATCACATCAGGGCCTTAACGCATCAACAGCAGTTAAGCCAATTTATTTTGTAAAGCTGCTCAGCAAGTCAAGGTCAAATCAGACGGTAAACACTCATTGCCTTTCCATCACTGAGAGGGACACGGTAATCACCAGAAATAGCAATCTCTTGCTATTTTATTAAGCATTTCTTGATGTGTACTCATTCCAAGAGGGGCTCATTTATTGTAAGGCAATGAGAGTCTAATTATAAAACGATTTTAAAAGAATCATGTTTTTTTCAGTCAATAAACAACAAATAAAGGGAAACGTAAAAAAAGTAAGCATTACCTGCATGCTAAATATAGAAACTCCTTTTGTCCATGTAGCCTATATATAGGCATATTAGCCCAGGTTGGACACTGCTACCTTTACCATCGTAGGGAAGACCATCCATGCTAAATTGCATTCCTTTTTTAATCTGTACAGCTGAATAAAGCAGCAGCAGTTAGCTTACATGTATGCTTTGTTGCTTGCTAATGTGAGGTACCTGATGATATTTATGATATGTTGTAAGCTAGTTGTTGTTAGCTAGCATGCTGTTAGCAGAAGATGCTAGTTGGTGATGATGCAGACAAAAGTAAATACTAGGCTCCTGTGTTAAGTGAGTGTGTGGGTGCAGGTAAAGTGTTCTCTTTGTCGTGGGTCCAACTCATTTACCTGAATTAGCATTTAGCATCAGAACAAATAGCATGTTGAAGACAGATGGAGCATGTGATGTCCACAGATTTAACAGCTGTTACTTTTGGTATTCAAACTTTTTTTGATTTGAGATTATTTAGATGGCTCAACTGTTTAAAGTCTACTTTTTGAATGCTGGTTAAGTTATTTTCCATTAGAGCTCAATCAGTATTGAGTCATGGGGGCAGGAGATGAGTGTCTGCTTTTATAGAGCTAATGATAAAGCCACTAGAATAAACACAGAAGTGACTGTGAGAGGCGGGCAAAAGAGAAGCTTAGCATGGGATTAATGCACACACACACGCACACACACACACCATGTTGTAACTTGAACTGCTGTCTGAGTCTCAGGCGGCAAGACGACATAATCAGCCATGTGTTGTGAAAGAGGTCGGGTTTGTTTCCCTGCTGTGTATATTTGTCCATATCCTGTTTGTGACCCCTCTTTGCTAATGCAGCCAACAGATGTAGACTTAACTCATTTTATTCCCCAAGCTTTGACTCTTTTTTTTTTTCTCAATAATTTCTGACCTCACCCTCCCACTCCTTATCCCAACGCTACCATTGGCTACTACACATTTAAATTCAAGTAAGACCTCTATTCAAATCTATTTCAATGTCTTTCTTTTTGTTTTGCCTTTCTCTTTTTTTTCCTTCATGTTTTGCTCCGGCCTCATCTTCCGCCTCTGATTGGCTGATTTGAATTTTCAAAAAGTGACCAATCCCCCTTTTTTCATCCTCAGAGACACAGGATGTACACTCATCCTTTTCCATCCCTCCCTCCCTCCTTCCTTCCCCTCTTTTCTTCATTCCTTCTCCCAAAAACAACCAGATGGTGAGACAGCAGTGGAGAGACAGACAGCGACAGCCGGCGGAAAGCCCTTCGGAGAGTGACATCACAGTCTCACTCTCACACTCTCTCTTAAAGGGTATAAAGGCCTCATTGTATCCTCCATCACATGGAAAAATGTTGGCGGAACGTTGTGAATTTGACAGAGTGCATCCATGGACCAGGGTCAGCGTGACAAAACACTCACACAGAAGCTTTACCCCGCAGTGTGTTCGTGCATAACAGACCTTTTCCTGGGTTCCTGATGTGATTGGTATGACTGGTGTTTACAGTATGTGCACTGTGAAGGACGCTTGTAAAAGAGAGCGTTGTCTAAAAGTACAATTGTGTGTGTAGTTAGTCTTTAACACGTGTTTCTTTAGTGACAGAATGATGGATCTGTGTATGTTAACATGTGTGAGGTCAATTGAAAGGCATAATGCAGTGCTCAGTGTTTCTCAGAGAGTGGGACTAGCATATACATTTGAAACAGGGAAATTCCTTATGCAAATTAGAGGAAGCCTGGCTTGACCACAGTCTTGTGACTTTGACAGTGTGATGAAAAGGATCATAAGAATTGTCTCACAAAATATAAACACCACCAGAAACAAAACCGCATGTTGTGGCAACATTCAGACATATTTAAAGTCCTTATTTTGAGATATAGTGATCAAGGTTTTTTTCTCTGCTATTTTTAACTTAAGTCTGGTCAGAGCCCGAAAATACATTAGATGTTCCTAACAAGATCATTTCTGCTAGTTTAATGTAAAAGTTGTTATAATATAATTTACTAAATGCAAAAAAACAGTTTTTACACAAGCAAATCTTATCCTTATTTGAACATTTCCACACAAACCGAGTTTTCCTCTATGGACTTTGAAGACGTTTAGAAGAAGCGGAAATAACATTCTCATTTTTTTTAATTGTAGTTAACTAAGAACTCAGAGCTTTTTGACAGAAGACTTTGCACTTTAAATTAAATAATTAAGCTTCACTGGACATCTTTTTCCAGATTTCTCATTTCCCAATCATGCTAATACTGTATCTAACATTTCAGAACCTCACGGACACTTACTTTGACGTCCTGCTCCAGTGTTCGTATCAGTTCTCCGTCCACCTGCCCTGTTTGGGCCACGCGCACAGAGCGTCGCTCTGCCTTCCTCAGCCGGTACTGCAGGATGCGGCAGGTCTTGTTAGCCTGAGAAACAGCAGCAGTGTGAGTGGATGAAGCTGTTTCATATTAATTATGTAGCTTCAAGGGAAATTCGCCAGGCAGCAGTCATTAAAATACAAAAGAAGAAATACAGACATCCATAATGCACCAGGACTTGTGTAGCACCTTTGTCTCAAAGATGACTGAAAGATTCAGATGATTGATTGTCCATCATTTTACTTCCCTGCTTCCAAAAATGTGTAGCATCCATCTATTGTATACATGTAAAGTGAGGCACTGCAAGTATATGGGAAAATATTTTGACTTAATTAAGTTCCTCAGTTGGTAACATTAGGACAATCGGTTTTTGAAATGCATTACATATGCAAATAAGGCAGTGTCTTATTAAACACTTGCTCATTTGCATTTATTTCCAGAACAAAAGTATGAGCATTGGATAAAGCCACATTTAAATTCTCTTTATCTCTTTGTGTCGCTATTATCAATCAAGAACTACTGTCAGCCATTAAAAAGCAAACTGAAAGGTTTGGGGTATGTAAGTGCTGCTAGAAGTTTGAGAAGTAACTAATTTTGAGAACATTTAAAAAATATTAACAAAAAGATAACACAAAACTTCTCCAGTTGTAACGAAGCCAATATTTCAGCATTTTTCTGAAATGTCCTATTTGAATATAAGTTGAGGCATTATCTAATGCTAACTTTTGGTGAAATTAGTATAAATCTAAAAAGTATATAAACAACGTTTTTAAATGTTAACACCTATTTATTTTTATTTTAGTCTGAAAGAAGACATGTTAAAGAAGCAAAAATGCCCAAATCAACCGGTGTATGAACAAAATGCTTTTGCCTCAACGACTCGGCATAACATTTCATAACAGGATATAACAACAAATGAGGTCACAGATTAATTGAGAGAGCTTTAATTTATCCGGCTAGTCCTGCAGTCTTACCTGCTCCATCTGTTGCCGTAGGTCCTGCAGCTGGTAGACGTCGTCCTCCATGTACATGTCCCTCATCTCCAGCATCTCAGACCTCAACTCCTCCATCTCATCCTGCTCACAGACAAGCAGAGAGTGTATAAGTGCATTTGTCATTTTAACACTACTCCTGCAAAATCAACCTGCATGGAGAGAGCTGTTTTGTGTTGTAGAGACTCTTAATTGTAACTCGAAGTGCTGACAGCATTATGGGCCCATATGTGGGCCATAAAGGGAATGCTTTAATGTTTAATAGGAACCATTAGCGTCTTTGTGCTAAATGCAAGACAACCATCATCATCATCAAAACATTGTCATCCATTAACCTTGTTCATAATGCATCCCATAAATCACTGATGTTGTCATTAGCCACCACATTTTCATCTTCATCATCCTCATTATCAGCCTAGCCTTTACAACAATGAGTGTCTTCTTAAAATAAACTGACATGTAATATTCTCCCAAGTCAGATAAAAGGGGTCATCAGAAGCAGAGATCTAGATGGTGTAAGTGGCAGAATGATGCACTAAGTAATATAATATGATACTGTATTGATTTTCTTCTCTGGCTCGGGCACAGGAGGTCAAAGGTCAGGGTCAGGTTATCAGATTGCCTGAAGAGACTCTTACCCTGCTGGGAAACTGGAGAAAAGGAAATTCCTACACTATAAAAATGGTGAGGTAAAAATATCTAAACAAAAGGCTTTCAAAAATATAGTAGGGAATACAGATCTCTTGTGTCTTTTAAATATAAACGTTAGCCTAGCTTTTCTAACACAACTGATTTGGCAGAAACTACTTAGCAGATCATTTTGGGTAAATGGTGGGCCATTTTTACGGAAAAGCCTATCTGGCATACTGGTTGGCATGAAGGATGCAGGCAATCAGAATTATTTGCGTCCAACCCAGCAGGGTAGCGAGTACAAGGGTAAACAACGGATACGCTCCATGCAGCCCACCACCTTCATCAGGTTCCCGTCAGTCAACATGTTAAACCTTTGTTCCAACATGTCAATAGATGCATGCAAGAAACCAGGTCCATAGTAGGGCTGAACGATTAATCGATTTTAAATCGAAATCGCGATTTTAAATGATGCAATTATCAAATCGCAAAGCTAACGATTTCTTTTTTAAATTATTTCTTTTTGTTCTTCTTGTGTGTTAGTCATCCACACCAATCAGAAGTGCTGTGCTCCACATGTACCAGTCATTGTTAACCAATCAGAAGTGGCCCATGATAGTAGGTGATAGACAGATTGACCCAATCACCTGCCAAGTATTTTTGAAATACTTTTCCAAATGGCTTCCAATGGAGCTTTCCTAGATGGTTTGGTGAAACAAACCATCTGAGTCAGGTTAGTAATGCTCCATCACATGTTTTACATCTATTACAGGGTGAATCTTAAACCGAAGCTTGACTTTAAAACAACCCAACGGAAGTTTTATTTAAGTTTAGTTCTTTCACTCGTAGCTCAGGCTGCGGGGGTGCTAGAGACGGGAGCACGTTGATACGACCTTCCTAGCCGGAGATATGGCCGCATTTTACAATAAACTTCCGTTGGGTCGCTTAAAAACAAATATCGCAAATCGAATCGCAATCGCAATATCTGTCAGAAAAATCGCAATTCGATTATTTCCCCAAATCGTGCAGCCCTAGTCCATAGTCGTGGGTAAAGAGGCTATATTAAGCTTTTCGATGTTTACCCTTTCCTTTAGTGTGTCATATAGGTTTTTTGTGCATGTAAATTGTCTGCAAAGGCTAAAAAAGTTCACACCACACACTCCACCCCCATCGCTTCAAACGACTCCATTGAGCTCTTTTGTTTACTTCCTTAACACAATGACATCACTATACACTCGCGCTTCCATTGGCACAAACACATTGTACGTGATTGGCTAAGGGGCAGGACATCTGTAAGCAGTTGACAAATCATAATAGAGCCGGCCAGCTAACCAATCAGAGCAGACTGGGCTCTGGTTTCAGACAGAGGGTGAAAAGAGGTGCTGCAGCGGGCAAACATGTAAACATGTCACAGTAGAGGCACAAAATACAAATATGAACCTGCAATGAGCATAATAGAGCCCCTTTAAGCTGTAGTGTTTTTTTCTAACACTTTTCTAGATATTCTACAGATAAATCATTGATTTCAGCCCGACAGCATAAATTGCATCATTCCTTTGATTCATATTCAAGGTGCAGCCCTTGTTTTAGCATGTCAGTGTACTGATATGAACCACACCCCACCAAAAAAAGTATTGCACATTATGTGTAGGTGTTATGCAACTGTGAGAGTGTACTACAAAACACTATGTGTGATGTGTAACTAATATAGGTAAAAGGGGTACAAGCGAATATAATAGTAGTAGTAGTAGTAGTAGTAGTAGTAGTAGTAGTAGTAGTAGAAGTAGTAGTAGTAGTAGTGCTGTCAAAATACACTACAGTGAAGAATGTGGGTCAACCTCTGCAAAGCTCTGACTGTAGCAATAAGGAGCTCTGGGGATGTGCGTGTGTTTATGTGTGGATAAGACAGCTAGAGAGTGTGTGAGTGGGTCGGCTCTGCTGCTACTACAGTATAAACTATTTGTGTGAGTAGGATTCGTAAGCATGTTAATAATTAAGGTTACGTTTGTGGATTAGCATGCAGCAAAGGGAGTGCTTCTCTGAGTTTGTGTGTGTGGGTGTGTGTGCAAAATCTTGTGAAAGATATTTGTTGATGGAGCTAAAATGGACTGCAGCAAGGAGCAATCTGCAGGACTGACCACTTCATATCTGCAATACAGAGGAGAGAGGGGGCGGAGAAGAAAGTAAAGAAGGAAAGGTGATATAAAAGGAAAGGAAAGAAAAAATGGGGAATGTAAAAAGAGAGAAAGAAATGTCAAGGAAAAGAAAGATCAAAATAGATCAGAGAGGTAGGGAAGGAAGGAAATGACAATAAAGGAAAGGAAATGGGAGGATAGGAGAGGAACAGCAGGAGGAGAATGAAAGAAAGAAAGAAAGAAAGAATATGACAATGACATGCAAGGTATTTCAAGAAACGAAAATGGGAATACAGAAAAAGAAACTGAGATGGGAAAAACAGAGCGTGAAAGAAATGCAGACGAGAAGGGAGATAAAACACGACAGCAGAGAGCGAGAAAGTGAGGACACGGAACGAGGGAATCACAAGTTAATGTGGCGAGAGACTGCGAGAGAGAGAGGTGGTCCACTGACCTGCTTTACGCAGCTAACTGAAGGAGAACAGGGAAGATGGTGTGTGTCATGTGAATAAGAAACCAGTCAGGAGATTGAATCCCAATCAGACGTCAGATGAGAGCGAGCCAGGCAGGTCAATGTCACAAATCAGAGCTCCAGCACATCTGCTGTGAAAACGGTTTGTCTAACTGACGAAAGGCGAAATATGTTTGTGTTTTGTTACCTTGACAAAGAAACATAGCTGTTTCCCTCTGTTTCCAGCATTTGGGCTAAGCTAAGCTAACCAGCTGCAGGCTGTAGCTTCATATTTAGGGTTTGGCTTGGTTTGTTTTGACCATGCAGTGACACTGAAAGCACTAAATAAAGTTGCTAGGATTCAGTGATTAGTTCACAATTATTATATTGATTAACACACAACGTTGATAATCAATTAATTTGTGATTTTTAAAGGAAAAAAAGTTAAGATGATCTGATTCAAGCTTCATCATTGTGAATATGTTCTTGTTTCTTCACAACAGTAAACTGAATGTATTTAGTTTTAGATGTCATTTTGGGCTTTGGAAAACACTGGTCATCCTTTTTCACTATTTTCTTATTGATCAAACAACTAAATACTAAATAATCAACATTAATATAATCGTTAGCTGCAGTGCTACTTAAGAAAGCATGACACAAGATACATAAAAGCTTCCATCATGTGTCTGTCTGTCAAATGTAAAATCTTCAAAAGATCTAGCGTTTTTATAACATCAGAGAAAGAAATTAGCCATAAATTCACCTACATTACAAAGAATTCCAGATTCTGAGAAATACAGGAGATTCAATTGCCAGGCATATCACCTTTTAATTTGATCATAGTATATTATGTAGTTAAAATATAAGCTGAACTACCATGGCAACTCTTTTTCATTAAAATATTTAGATTATTGAATTTCAACAGTCATACAAGATTAGCCTGCACAGATGCTTAACCATTATCTTAAATTGTGGTCATAGGAGAGACATTCCTCAAAATTAGGTTTGAAAGGCTCATCTTTGTGGGCCTGTCTGTGAAGTTGTAACATGAGGTCGGCAGTTAGTAGCTTCATGTTGTTCGCATGTGGACTCAGATGGTAATTAGATTCACTGTCGGGGTTCCTGGTGAGAGTGAGATACTTCAACAAGGTGTGGATGGTAGGAACGACAGACAATCAGTCAAACTGCTGTTGTTGTGTGACAAAAGTAGGAAGTAGGTGAGGAAGTACGGTAGTTATTGTTGCAGGTAATGTAGCTGGAATATTTAAATGTTAACTGTAGCCAGTCAGTCATCAGAAAAATATTTGCAAACTATTTGTTTATTAATAATTTGAGTCGTTTTTAAAACAAAAGTGTCAGAAAATGAAGTTTTTAACATCTTAAATGTGGAGATGTGTTGCTTTTCTCAGTTTTGTATCATATTAAAAAGGGAATAACTTGGGTTTTGGACTGACAAAACAAGATGGGACGGACCCTGAACCTTTCACAATTTCCTGACACTATATGTAGCATAAGATGAGTCTAGAAAATAACCGACCAATTAGTTATGAATATAAATAATTGCAAGTTGCAGCCCTATTGTTGACAACCATGATCTCTAACACCAGAATATTAATTCATAATTACAAAGATTCCAACAGCTGTTGATCTCCCAATAACCGACCAAATGGGAAACAAGAAAGAGTCAATAGCCACTTTCACACCAAGTACTTTGCCGTACTTAGTTCCCAGCACTTAGTTCCAGACCCGGCGCCAGAACAAATCTACAGAGAGGGCATATGATTTTCATGGGAGGGCACACAAAACCGTAATGTGCCGCGGCCAGTGACGGCGCCAGAGATTTTCTTTTGGGGGTGCTGTGGGGTAGCTTGACGTTTCATAGAGGGTGCTCAAACATGTAGGGTTTCCCATTAAGGTACCGGGCGCTACAGTGGAATTTTCTACTGCAACACTCCCCACACGCACACCCGCGACTGTTACTCTAGCCGCTTTCACACCAAGTACTTTGCCTTACTTAGTGCCCAGCACTTAGTCCCAGCACTTAGTTCCCCCATGGAACTAAGTACAGATCGCGTTCACACCGGAATAAGTTCCCTGAGGGAAGATTACGCAAATGAAGCCGCTGACGTCACTTCTTCTTCTTTGCTTTGGGTTTACTGCAGGCCGCAAACACTTCACGGCGTATACTGCCACCCGAAGTTCCCGGCCGGAAGTCCCCGGAGTTGGGGACTGGCTTCAGTAGAAGCTGCTGGGACTCCCAGCAGCTTCTACTGAAGCCCTCCTTCCTTTGTGTTGCCATAAGTTATTCTCTCTGGTGCGCGGGGCTAATGCTAATAATGCTAATGCCAGCAAATACAATGGCGGCTTCACAAAACTTTTCAGAGTTTTACGGGGCGTGGTTCGCCCAGCCAATCGAAATTGGAACTTTTTTCTCCCCGGGATAGTACCACCTCTCTAGCAGGCACTACAAATGGGGGTAAAGGTTCTCGGAACTAAGTACTCTTTTTGGTGTGAACGCAAAATTCCAGGCACTAACGGAACTAAACGGGAAAAGTACGGGTAAAAGTACGGGTAAAAGTACTCCGGTGTGAAAGCGCCTAATGCATCATAATATGCACTACATGAAGATATAGTGACAGATAAACAGACATTAAGTTCTAATATGCCTGAAAAAAATGATGGGTAGGAAATGGAGAAGAGGGAGCTAGATAGTGTTATCCCAAAAAAAAATCAGACAGTGAGATATTGAGAGGAAGCCGACACCATAAGAGCTTGTTGTTTTCATCGTCTGGTTACTAACCAGGTGTTCCTCACAGCTGAAGCTACAGACACAAACACTCACCCCACTGACGGGCCTCCCATGAGGCTTTGGGGTGGTCCAATAAGGTAGCTCTGTTTCATGCTGTCCTATATAATCAAGCAGCAGAAAATGTGCACTGCACCTACTAATGATGCATCTGTCTTATCTTTGCAGCCCTTTGAATATCACTAACAGCTGAAAATACGTTATGCTAGCAAACTTGTAATCATTTAGGGCAACGACTAATGATTATCTCTGTATGAAGATATACAAAAAAGTGAAAAACGTATTGAAATTGCTCATCTGTTCCCCAACAGCATTCCAAAATCATAGCTTTTTGATTCGCATTGGTTTGCAGCAAATGCTACCATTTGAGAAGATGGAACCAACAAATGTTGACGTTTTTTGTTTGATGTATGGCAAACTAATCAACACTTATCAGGTATAGATAATATATAGCATTTATCCTGATTATTACGCTGGCTAGGATCACAAAAAGTAAGCCTATAGTGGAATATGTCATGATAATCAACCTGTGTCAATGTATTTTTAGAATATTGCAAGTGTATTAAGACAGCCTTGCTTGTGTTTTACAAGAGCAGCAGGTGTGGTTGAAATTAAGTAAATGCATCAACATCACCATAAAAAAACCTTTTACTGCTGTTTAGAGCAAGAATCAGGATTCTCCAACAATGTTGCAGCGCTCCCTGAGAAAAGAAGAGGTGGTCCTCCTGATGAGGCGAGTGCTGTTGATCAATCACCCTCCACAATCAATCTCTGACAATTATTGGCTTGTCTGGTAGCTGCCAGTTAGTGCTTAGAGACATGCTAATATAATTGATCCTTCCCCTAATCAATCACCCTTATTGGCTTGCCGGTGGATTCATATTACATTCCACTGCATGTGGACCTGTGGGAGCTGAGAGATGCCTTTAGTAACAAAACCTGATGACATGCCATCCCACTGAGGGTAGTGATGATGTAGGGTTGGGCTGGTTGCTGAAGCATTGGGGTTTTTCAATTTGTTCCTCAACAAATTATTTTAACTGTTTCATGTTAAAAAAAAAAACATTAAAAACACAAAATTTGGAGGCCATAATGCATGTTTCCCAGAGTATTTTACTCTTCTCAGGATGGAAACAACCCTGAAACTAGACAATCACAGGATAGTTATTATCTCCCTGTTATACAAATGCAAATATAATACCTTGTTAAATTAGCAGCAAGACAGATTTCCCTGCAGGCTGCAGCTGACAACCCCGAGGCTGATGGGTAAAATTACCGAGAACTTTCCTCCATCATGTGAGCTGACAACAATGACTGGCAAAGTATGTTGAAAAGGCACTACCTGCTCAAAATACTACATCAACACATATTTGACTTGTTTACATATCTTAAACATTGCATTTGTTGATATTCCATATGATACATGCCATGTTGAGGGTGCAAGGCTGCATGCTTTGCTCATGTGTTTCATGTGTCTGTGGGGTTGCATGCTCTCTAATCATAACATCATCATCCCTGTAGTGAGTAGCATTGGATGGAGTCCAAAGGCATTTCTACACTCTAGGAAGCAAATCATAGTGAACAAACTGAACTCAACTGACTTTATACTACACCATGCTCATGATAAATAGTTTTAGCATAGGCCTATAGGCCAAAAAGCAACATTACAATGTAAGAAACCAAATTCTAAAATAGACCGGTTAGGCCTTTTGTTTATGTTTGTCATTTGAAAAACCCATGGGACATTTAGTCACAATCATAGTTGACACTTAGTCGACTATATTGGACTTACCTTGAGGTAATCATTCTCAGATCTCAGTTCTTCTATTTCCCGTACAAACTCCTCATGCATGCCGTCCATAAACTCCTCTGTGAGGTCTGAGAAAGCCAGAGATGTGCTGGGGGGCACCCTGCTGTCAAACGAGGTGACCGAGCGCTCCTCGCCTGGGGATATGCTCCCTTCCCCTGTCTCCACGGCCAGGGAGAGCCGGTCCTTGTAGTCCCTCTCCGAGGAGAAGCAGGTGGTCCTGTTGGTGGCATGTTGGCTAGCTCTTTCTGCCAACACGCCATCCCTGAGCGGCTTGTCTCCGTCTAGCCCCCCGCCTCGGCTGCTCCTCGACTCGGCGTCGCTACTCACAGCGTCCGCTGAGAGCTTGTTTTCCTCGGAGGCGCAGTCCGAGAGTTCGGAGCTACTGTCGGTCGGGGAGAGCTTCCCGGTGGCACAGCCGGAGTCCTTAGATAAATCGTCGGAGCCTGTGCTGGCGTCCGAAACCTTACGCCGACCCCCGGTGCTTTTCACTGCGTTGGCCGTTTTAGACGACGCTGAGGATGATTTGCCCGCCGGTTTGCTCTTATCCGCTTTACCTTCCTTTCCAGCGAGACTTCCCACGGGGCTGCGCCGGGAAATACGGCTGCCCAGGTGAATGCCTCCCGGCTTGACGCTCAGAGTCGGGGTCCCAATCCCTCCGCGAATCTTGGTGAGCGACCAACCGGGTACATCCTTCGGTCTGGCCGGGGAGGGAGCCCGGTTTATCTTTTTCTTCTTGCCTGAAGGCTGAGCGGACACCGCCGCAGAGAGCTCCGCGGTTTCAGGCCGGTGGGTTGGCTGCTGCTGCCCGGGCACCGCGTGCTGAGTTTGCCCGCTGTCCGAGCCCTCCGCCCCGCCTCCACTGTCCATCTTCTGCCGGAGATGGAGCCTCCGTTCCTTGGCCGAGGCGAAGACGAGGTCAGCCGGAGAGGTATGGACATCAACTTCCTTTGTTTTTGTCATTCATTCCGTTTAGGCCGAAACAAGTAAAAAAAAAATTGAAACGAAACCTCCTATTTAGCGGAAACGGGAGGCAGAAGTTGGGGTTTGAATAAACAACTGCAGAGCACACAAAAGGAGGGGATCCTCGCTCCGTCCACAATGAGAGCTCAGAGCTCCTGTAGTGCAACAAGGCGAAGAAGCAGGAAGCGTAGTCCAAAAACTGCAGAAACGCAACATAAAATCCCGGTTTCCACTGTGTGTAGTAGTAGACTTGTAATATTTCCGCTTTGTTCTGATAGATCTTCCCCCCCCACGTCAGGATATCTGTCCGGATGACATAAACTAGCCGGCCGGTTCCTGTTCAGAGGAGTGTTGGTGAAAACAGAGAGGCAGTGTGGTGGATGGTCTACCCTCTCTCCCTCTTTCTCCGCCCAGATAACGGGATGTAGCCCTGGAGGAGAGAGAGAGGGAGAATCTAGTTTCTGCAGCTCTCTGTCGCCACCCTTGCAGGATATTAGAAGGGCAGACGAGCTGGAAAATAAAAAAAATATTGCTCTGAGAGATGCATGAGGAGCAGGGTTCACCATTGCTCACTATGCATTGCTTTAAAACCAAAGCAATGATGGTATGTTTAGCCATTGATGCATTATGTTGTACTCTACACCCAGACACACAGAACAAATATTCAAATGTTATACAAGGAAAAGGAATAAGTAGAGTCTTAATAGCACAACAATAAATGTAAACAAACCACCCAACAATGTAGATCTATTTTATAGAACATGTTGAATTGAATCAGTACAAGTAAGAATATTTTTAATTTGGTAGTTACTGTAAATATAATTACATATCTTCAGCAACAATCCAACCTAATGCGCTTATTCTTTAAAACACGAGGATAACCTAATGTGTCTGCAGTATGTCTGAACACCATTCCCATCATGATTAATTCACATCCTTGTGGGATTCATCATTTGCACATGGTAACACATTACAGTAAGTCTCGAGTTACGTGTGAGGATAGATGAGTGTGTGAATGTGTGTGTGTGACTGTGTGTTAATTTGATACAGGTAGAAGAATACACTACAATAACAATGGTAACGTCCTAACGTTAAGAAGGTATGTAGAAATACATGTATTAAAAGTATTAGACAAATTGAAATATTGACCTGATGGTGGTACTCTGGTAGTTTTCGCTTGATGATGCAAATAAAATGCATTTCACTGAAATCCATAAATGTCAATCTTACGGATATTTCATGGATTCATCCTCTGGGGACCATGAATGTTTGTATCAAATTCCATAGTTTTTTATTTAATAGTTTGAGAAATTCCAGTAAAAGCCTTAAATGTTCTACTGTATGTGTGAAACAAATAGATTATCACATTTTTATAGTGCTGCTGCAATGAGTCCAAAAACTGTAAATTAGCATGTTAGAGCATTACCTTTTCTTAAAGGGTTTTTTATGTAAGATGAGTTAAAGGAAGATCAAGTTAAAGGACTTACAAGTGGCTTAATGAGGCTAGATAGATTGGCACAGACATTTAATTACATTAACAGTCAGTCTTTAGCTTAGTGTTGGCAGCGTTAAATTCATTTCACTGTTTTGTGAGCTTTTTATTTTCAAAGCTGCATTAAACCTTCAAAAAAACATAAAAGTGGTGTTTTTGTTATCTTGCTGATCAAAATGCATAAAAACATAAAAGTGGTGTTTTTGTTATCTTGCTGAACAAAATGCGTATCATAAACAGATGGTTTTTTTCTGTAATAATCCAAAATTTACAAAATAAATCATTTTTTTGTCGAGGACCCAAAAAAACGACATTGCTGCATCCCTCTATTATTCCGCTTTATGTAGTGAAGTCTTGAAGTATGTACCTGATCATACTGTTCCCAAAATGTTACGTAACTACATTCCCTTATACATAATTTTTCATAAACAGAGCAAGCAGGAACCATTAAGTTAATGGGTAAAAATATGTTTCTGAAGTATTCTCCACAAGTGACAGGGACATTATGTCATCTCTTAACAGATGGTTCCTTTCATTATTAAAGCTAAAAAGTAGAGTGGGACTTCCGCCTCTTCCATCTATTCTCCATTTCTAATAATAACCATATTCATGTTCCTCCTCCCCAGATGCTGTTCTCTTCTAAAGGACTGCATACATTCCTACACACAATTACATCTTATTATAACTTCCAACGGCAATACAGTAGCAGCATCTCTTCAAATATGAACTCACTTAATTCTTCTCTCTGTTGAAGTTGTTTGTGAAACCGTGACAATAATGAGATTTCATTCTCATCACAGAACCAATGAAGATGTCGATACAGTCTGCGGTGGCAGAATCCCACTACGTGAATGATTTATAAGCAGTAACCCAAGAATGGCAAACACAGAATTAGAGCAGTTAGAATACATTTTACCACTCAGGGATTTATTATGAACCAGTAAAGAGGGTCTGGTTTAATACTCATCATGTTTACAATGCACACAAATAATGTGATTGTAGTCTATAATGAGAGTAATGCAGGTCTCATAAAGACAAAACTGGTTATTTTTGCCATTATGGTCATAGAACAAGGGTTACCTTTCACATTTTCCTATTTTATTGCCCTTCTCTGCATTATAATGTGCTCAAATTGCACCCTTATCAAGGATCATGTTAAACAGAGATTTCAATTTGGAGTAGCAGGATGGATCTTTGAATCATTAATGAATTGTTGCATATAAGGAAGTGGTAAAAAGCAGTCATTAAATCATTAAGCAGATACCAAAGTGCTATACAAACAGCCAGTCCTACACTAATAACCCTATACAAAAAAACATAGTGTATAAAATGTATAAGGAATTAAAATACCTGTATCAGAAGTGCAGTATTGCAACCATCCCTGCAATGTTAAGGCAGTTTGCTCCTTGGTGGTAACTCTTTGGAAAGGGACACCATTAGCTTTTTAGACACACATTAGTACATGCAATTCTTTGTTTTAGGCTACTGAATCCTATCAGGGTTGTTAATGTTGATGTGTAGCTATCAGTAGGCAAAAATCATATCTTATGCTAATCTTAGCAGCTCATAGCCGCCAGCTATTATGCTAGCATTAGCTGAAGGCATACATGTGGTTTTAAACATGCTTACCTAGCATTAGCTTAATAGTAAAATATGTTTTGTTTAGCTTTATTTTATATTAATTGAATTTAAAATGATTTGTTGAAACAAAGTAGGAAGAGCAAGTCAATTATTGTCCAAAATCCAACCTAAAACTAACTTCACAGCGGTTATCGTCTGTACTCTGGGGATTAATGCGTTTCTAGAAAAAGTGGGCAATGATTAACTTAGGTATGTGTGAGAGTGTAAGTACAACAAAATATGAGACTACTTAGGCTACTTCATTCTACGTTCTCACCTAATTACATGTATCTCTACTGCTCTGCTTGTCAGGATGTAGATTGGCCACAAAGCAAAATGTAGACCTACTTTTTGACATATGTTGCTTACGAGGAGAAAACTGTTCAAAATGTTTCAAGGACAGTTTGACTGCTCTCAGAATCCATGTGCATTGGACATATCTTTGTCGGTAACCAAGCAGGCTACAGGCCAGTCATTTTTATCTGGCTCTGACATGATGGGTAAATCTGCCAAACATGGTTTCTGGGTTATACAAGTCAATGATTTCTTGTATATTAATCTTAACTTATAAACTTGCATAGGTTTGCAACAAGGGTATTTTGATGACTGATATCTAAATGTACATAACTTGCCTATTTCTTGCAAGTCAATGAAACCTCTCAGATTAATGTGTAAACTAGGTGATGGACGGACGCCACACTGTTACCATGCCGCTTCACACCGCCCTGCTTTCATTCAGGCCTCAGGATAACTGGAGGGAGGAAACCCAGCCATCCAACAGTAAATACTCGTTAACAATGAACATATTTTACTAATTATCTGTGAAAAAACACCCTGATGTGCCTTTCATTCCTGTCCAATCCAAAGTGGGTATTAGAGTGCCTGATTTCAAGTCTGCATTGCTGAGAGGAAAACCCGCTGTCCTTGCGAGTTATCTTCAGTCCAGTAATTGGAAAGCAGTGGGTGTGTGTTGCTGGTTATGAAGAGGAGCTGAATCAGCAGTGCTACTGCCTGCTGACAAGAGGCGACAGATACATTATTTCTATGTCTGCTCTCCATTTAGTTATTTTGCACCTTATATTTATGAGAACCATAGGTGCTGCTTGCAATTATTTTCTGAAACTAGATTTTTAAAATATATATTATATAATTGATGTCATTAAATCGGAAAGTAAATAAAAAAAGGATGCCAAGCAGGAATAACTATAAGAGGATGAAACATTATTTTACCGTTGAATTAGCCAGGCTAGCATTTTATCTCCTGTTCCCAGTTTTGATGCTAATGTTTGCTTACCAAAGGGCAACATCAATCTTTTTATCTAACTCATGTCAAGACATTAAATGAGCTTATTTCCCAAATGTTATTAAACTATTCCTTTAAATGTTTCCTCAATGTTCGTCAAATTATTTAAGCACTCACATAATTTATACACTCGCATGCAATCATTTTGAGCATTTTAGCACGACAATGTGCTAAAATTCCTGTCCAATCCAATCTTTTCTTCATTTCTTATCAGTTGCACATGTTTTATTAATATGCATTTTTGCCCGCGAGTGAGTCTCGTGACCAGATTGATAGCCTCATTATTGTATTTAAAGTTTAGATTGGCTTAAAGCAGTTTGGCTGTCTGTTCTGGATTTCATCTCAACTAATTCAAATGTAATCAAGTATGTGGTTGAGGGTCAAAGCCTCTGCCATGTTGAAGTGTCCTTAAGCAAGGCACTACATCCCTATGAAAACTGGGGGGTGCTGTTTCATCCGATGCTTAGCTATAGTAAAATATGAATCATATTACATTGTCAGAAAACTTAATTTACTGAAAATCAAATTACATAAATGCATAGAAAGAATTAGAAATAAAAACCAAAAATAATCAATTAACCTATTAAGTTTGTCATTATAAACATGACTTCAAAGTCCTGAATACCAGTTTACTTGTTATATCTTTCACTTATTTATAGCCATCTGCAGACATGGTAAATTCAATGTACATTTGCACATCATTTAGTGGAAGTCACATGATTTATCACTCCGTTTTTGTAGATGTAAAATATAATTATATTTTAACACTAAACTATATTACCATTGTGGTTTAACAATTGTGTACCTCACAATATTTTGGATAACGTGTGCATGCGTTTGAATAACTACATGCTTCTCAGCATAAGTCTATTGGAAGTCTTAAGTGACATAGCATCACAACCACTTTATTTCAGAATGATAGGGCCAGCTTTTACAGGACA